CTTAGCGATTCTGATGCGTCCGGTCCGCGCTGTGATTACGTCTTTTTGGGGGACTAGTAAAGCGCTATATAAAAACAGGCCATTTACCCTGAATCCTCCTGCTAAACCAGCAGACTGAGGAAACCACAAAGTGAATTAAAGCTAGCAAGCTTCGTGTTAGCACACTAACACGAATCTTGCTAGTGTTAGTATGTTATTTTGTTAGCAGCATAATGCAGTTGTTTCTGTCCTGTATGCAGTTTGCACTGTACCATTGCTCTGTTGTCCTTTTGTAAAGTAAAAATAAAATTAATGTCCATTTCCACCCTACAGACTGCACCATTATTTTCCTCCTCCAGCACTGGAATGGAAATCATGTGATTGCAGCACAAGTGCAAGTGGAACCGATAAGCAAAATCGTTAAGCAAGCAGACTAACATTTATAAAGCATTAAACTACTGGAAATTGGGACCCAGTACAACTGAACTACTCAGAATTTAATTCCTATCCTTAGATGTCATTGTCTCCACTAGCCCTCCTGTAAAAATATTGCACACCAATTACTGCCTTCCACAGGTTGTCAGTCTGACAACCTGTAGAAGCACTGGCACATTTCACTATCTCTCTTCACACTCTTCGTACTTCTGTCTTGGTCAGTCTCATGTTACCAAAAACACTTTAGTAGTGCAAAGCTATGTGTGACACAGTAGCCATCCCTTCTAACCATCAGAGAGCATCTTATTGATGTGGTGTGAACAAATGAGGTCCCCAAGCCTCCATGTTGCGATTTATGTTTGTCTGTAAGGCTAATATCTCATAATTAGCATCACATATGTGTGTTTGTGTTTTGTCATTTACTGCACACAGTGTTTGGAGGTGGACTGCTCCTCTGATACTATTAGACATTACAGAGAAAGTCCCCTTCTCTAAGGAATTTAAGGGGGAGGGTTGTCTCACTAGTGAGTGCACCAGAAGGTAAACATGGTCACGAGTTTCTGGGCTTGGAGAACTCTCTCTTTTCATGCGGGTCTAAAGGAGGGTAAGAGGTGGTTGCCATGGTGACGAGTGAAGTAGTCAGAAAGCTGCAGAAGAGGAATGGTGCCAGGATTGGGTTCATTCTGAACTAAAGGTGAACTAAATGGTAAGTTTACTACAATATATTATAATATATATCATAAATTAGTAATATATATATTACCTTTAATCAGCAAGCTAATATACATCATATGATAGCCAGCATTAAGATGAATTCATTATTAATTATATTAATTAAATGATACAGGACTGAAGTTGTCCCGCTACCCATGTGTCTTTAGCTTTCCTAAACTGCTTAAAGCTTGGCAAGATCTGCAGCTTTACCTTATGCACTCAATAAGTCATGAACACAAATCAAAATTTTGTGCTCAAAAATTACTTTTATTTGCTTTCATGAAAGAAGACATTACATGAAAAAAAAATTACATGTTTAATGGGTATCAAAGATACAAGTAAAATACAGAATTAAAACAAAATGGCATTGCTCAGCACATAGAATAACATGTATGTAAAGGGAGTACAAATTTGTGTTATTATTTATTTTCAGTGTAATATGCAGCCAGGACTTAATTTGAAGTTGTGTAGTTAGACTACACTATAGTGTTTACTATAAGAAATTATTCACTAATCTGCCTGCTTTCCTGGGTTTTTGACTGCAAGTCCATTCTTTACATCACATCCACTTTCCCACAGTGTCAAACAACTCTGACAATACTGACATCATCACTCTAAGCTGGATAATTTTCTTGCCTGCCTGCTGCAAGACAATCAGCCTCTCTTATGTGTGTGCTTTAAATCTCACTGCTGTTTCGTCATTCTGTCTTTCAGACTCTCATATGTGCAACCCGACTCCTCCACATTTCCTTCCATTCAGAACCCACATCCAAGCCTTCATCCTCAATTCCACCACTGCCAGCATCTAGACACCAGGAGTCTTGTCCTAATTCCTATCATTGTTGGGACTTTGTTCTGCCATGAGCGGTCCAGAAGGTCTAATTACAAAGTTCTCTTTAAAGAACTGAAGAGAATTCATCTTCAGTTCTTTAAAATGATCAGTCCTTACCAAAAAACCCAAACTGATAAAAAGCCATAGATTTGACATATAAATCATGTTCACATGTATGCTCAAATGTGAAATGTGTGTTTTATTTATTATTACAGCTGCACAAGACTTTCATTGTATCAATCAATAGTGAGACAGAACAACTGAAAGTTCTTTTTTAATCCCAAATGCTTTGACACTAACACACAAAACACATAATGTGATATTCAGTGAGAAACAACAATGCAGGAGATTTTCCTGATATATTTACATAAATTAAAGACACCCCCATTTCAAAACAATGTTCTCTGTGTTATGCTAACCATTCAAGTGACAAAATGTGCAAGATATTTTTTTCTCTATGTACTAATGTGTGCAGATGAAATGACTGTATATCTTGCATTGTTTATATTCAATCTGTTGTAATTAATTGTAATTGTATATCAAGACAGGACATTTAAATTAAAAGGAAAAACCTGAACTTGACTCTTACAGCAAGAGGATAACAAGTTAATTTGGGGGGAAATTTCAATTTCAATTTTTTTTTTTCAGAAATATGGTTTAAATTAAAGGAAATTACCACAATTTATACATTCAGCACTTCTCTAAGATCCACAGTGCAATACAAGGCACTGGTTGGATTCACACAAGAACAAATCAGACATAGATCTTGTAGCTAATTTACTTTGTAGATATTGTTGATTTAAAGATACTATTTTAAAGAATTGCTGGTCTTCACACTAGTAGTCGTTGACTGTACCACCTTAACTGAGACAGTTTATACTTAGGCAGAACATCTGTCAGCATAGGAATAAATAAAACTTCTAAGGAGGATTATGGGGCATGTGAAAACCAGCATCCAGCTTAACCCATACCAGAAACTTTAGGATTATTAGGCTGCTACTCTTTAAGCATGAACATTGTTTAATTGTTATAACAATGCCATACAATTCAGTGAATACTTCTTAAACATAGAAATGGTCGAATGTAAATACAACTCTTTGTGTGTATCTTATGCACCTTGTTGAGGCAAACTTTAATGAATGTATATTTATCTCACAGCTACAATATTCATTTCTGGCAGGTCATCCACAGTGTAGTCCAGTGATGAATAAAATTATTAACTCATTCAGCCATTGACGTCTATAGCCGTCAATTGCAGTGAATGAGTCAATGGGTTTAACTCATTCACTGCCAATGGCTGGCAGTGAATGAGTTAAGATCTCTGACATTTTGATGGAATCCAGGTTATAAGCTTACTAATAATATATACCATAAGACTGTGATAAAAGTAGGACATCAGGTAAGAAAACCATCAATTCAAGTCAATTGTCTGCTCATTTTTTCATGACAGCATTTAAGAACATAGCATGCACTTTGAACCCATAACATTTGATTTCAAATATGTCAGTGGGTGCCCTAAAGTGCAAGATGTTAAAGGCAGACAACACAGAGCATCTGATTATTAACTTGAAGAATAAGAGGGTGATACATGGCCCAGTATGCAATATTACGGCCCCTTAAGCATACTAAACAGAAAGGCACCATTGATATTTGTCTGCACTGAAATATTCTTTTAACTATACTATGAACTGCTGCATACTAGCGTATGGCACTTTACCTACAAGACATTTGTACTGTTTTTTTTATAAAACTTTATTTACTACATCTCTAAAATAAAAGTTTCATTCTTCATTTGTCTTTAAAAGTCTTTACACAGCAAATAAATTATGAGAATTTATCGAAAATAAAGGTTTAAAGATTGTTTATATTCTTCCTCCATGTGAAGTAATCTTAGCAATTTCTTTTCTTTCTTTCTTTTTTTTACTTTACGCAGCAATTAAATCTTGTTGGTTGATGAGGCTAGATGACTTTACTGGTAGGTCATCATTTGGTGATGCTGGGTTAGTCCTGCCGCTATCTACAGCCCTGAGTAAAAGGACTGTATTCCTGTCTGCACTTAGGAAGGGTATGTGTTCCCCCCGAGGATCCTCTGTATCACTTACTAGTATGCTGTCACCATTTAACCTCAAATAATCAACCACATGGTCAGTGACACTATTGTTGCTGCAGTCACTTACATTGTTGTTTGTGTTAATTAATTTCACAGGTGCTATTGAAAACATATAGCTGGCAGCTCTGGTGTCCTGTATGGTTTGGTAGTCAGTATTCTCCATAGCGAACAGTGGACTAGATGGCAAGCTATCTGCCACATGGCCATGATTGTAGTGTGAAGAGGTTCTCTTTTGTACATCCCGGCTTGAGGACTTGTGCAGCTGATGCAGCAAAGGGCGCTCTTCCTCACCAGAGGGACTTAAAGTCACAGAGGGAACAGAGATAGCTAGGCTGGATATGGGGGCTGAAATCTCGGATGGAGGAGAGCCAGGGGTTGCAAGAGAGTTCTGCGACTCTGAAGTTGCCATCACTGGTACAAACCTAAAAAAAAAAAAAAACACATGTGAACAATGAACTGAATGAATTGAACTGAAGAAGCTTCTCGGATGAGAGGTGAAACGTCTTCAAGCAACTTAAAGAAGTCCAGACGCTTTTCTTTGCAAGCTCCTTTGACTACGATGACCTGGATGACTGAGAACCTTCACAGACACATGTGAACAATGATTATACAACTGGGTCAGTAGCATTTCAATTCAACATCAGTATAACTTAACACACAATAACTAATCACATTATTACTGGGTGTTAAATGAATTAACATGACATAATGATTTTCTAGTGTTGCTGACTAAAAGCACTTTTATACTTTAAGCTGCAAATTCAGTTAATTAAGCACTTTGATTTATTTACCTATAACACACACACAAAAGAAGTTTTTTTTAACAAATGATCATAAGAAGACTGCTAGTCTATGGGCTCAAACTGTGGTCATAAATATTTTGTACTTGTAAATCAGTTTTGTACTTGTAAATCAGGATTTGTATGTGTAAAAAGAATTTGTGTGTGTGTAAAAAAGATTTGTGTGTGGACTTAGCCAAAAAAAACCTGCAAGTTACAAGTACGAATTTTGACCCTATATTTCTTCCTTTCATCTGATTGGTCAATGTCATGTCAATCACAAATGTAACAATCCAATCAGAGAACAGATGGGTTTGGCGGTCAAATCTTTTTTACGTTTCAAAAGTACCGATTTGGCACCGGTATCGGATAAAACCTAAACGATACCCATCCCTATACATGATATGTCTGTGAGTCTAATATTTCTGCAAGGCGTAATTGTATCTGACAGAACAACTACAGATGAAATGAGAGAGTGCATTTAATCCAGGGGTCGGCAACCCTGGGTGCGCGTGCCAGCTTAACTGATGGCAAGACCATAGCTGGACGATGGTGATTTTTCGTTTTTATGGGCCGATTATTTATTTATTCATTTTTTTAGTAACAGTATAAACAATGAAAGGTGGTGGATTGGCCAGGTGCTGGCAGATGTGTAAAAATAACTAAGTTGTTTGGTGGTGGCAATGGCGGAGCTACCACAGAGGCCAGCAGGTGGATGAAGGAAAGGGGAGGCAAGAGCAGAGACCCGAGGCGGCTGCCGGTCCGAGTGTCAGGTGAACTGAACTTCAGGAAAGAAGTTATGACCTGCAGTCTATCTGGGTAAGATATAAACCAAGTTTAGGTATAGTTTATTTTTGTAGTGCTGAATTTTTACACTCAGTTACAATAACTCGTATTGCGTACTAGCTAGAATGATGGAGTTTCTATACAGCTGGGTGGGTGCTATCATGTTGCTGATTGCGAACTTTATTTTATTCATAAGGTTAGTTAGTAGAGTTGCAACCGTCCCATAAAAAATGGAATCATCCCTCATTCAGAGAAAATATTACATGTTTCGTATTGAGCTGAGAAGGAACGCAGTTTGTCCCGTACTTCAGCTAGAATGGAAAAAGACACAAAGCTGGAGTTATTCTGTCTTTATGCTGTACAGCCTCTTCTTCTCTCATTCTCTCCCCCTCCCTCTCCTGTTGCTACTTCAATCATGAAACTGATCAATGATCAGCTGATTGGCTTTTCTCTCTTGTTTGTTTATCGCCAGCGGCGGTACTAGCCTGTTTGGCGCCCTGGGCGAACACTCCCTCTGGCGCCAGAGGAGTTCGAGTCTCCTGGAGAAAAATCCTGGTGGTTTGAGGCCCCAGGCTTGTGTTGGGTACGGTCCATCAGAATCAGAATCAGAATACTTTATTAATCCCGAAGGAAATTAGGGTTACAGCAGGCAGCACGCTAATGGCGCATGCGCACTTACAAAGGAACCTTCTGACCAACTTTACACAAACATCACATTGGGGAGACATGTCAGAAAGGTAGGCTGATAGGAAAAAAAACAACGAAAATACATAACATGAGGTAAGAGGAGGAGAAAAAAAACCTAGTGAGAGAACAGTTTGATAACAGAAAAAACACCTCAGCACAAAAAGCACATGACTATCAATGCACCATAGAAACACAAGACAAGCAACAGGGGCGGGTAAAGGGTAAGAGAGAGCCGGTGTAGACAGCGCATCCGGTCCTGCAGCATGTCTGCGCTGGTCCAGTCGACTGCCATCTTCCCCGGTAGGGCACAAGCATCGAAGGCGTTTGGAAAGGGAGGGGGGATCAGTGTGTGCATATCAGTGTATGTGTGTGTGTGTGTCCAGAGTTCAGCTGAGACAGTGTCCTTCGCCCGCCAGGCTAAGTAAACAGTCTTCCAGCCAACCCAGGTGGCCTTGCATGGAATGGGGGGAACAATCTAAACATAGTCGTTATCAGGGTGTTTTGTTCAGCTCCAGCCTTGAGACCGCAGCTGGCGCCGAAGGGGTCTCCGCATGAAGTGATGGTGGTTTTTACTCTAGTGCAAACAACTCATATGAATTTCAAAGCTGTTCTAACAGTCCAACACTGGTCTCTCAATCTCCCGTTGGAGAGCCGTGAGCTTTGCCATGATGTTACTTACATTCCGTGATGTTGTCATTCTTGTGCTCAAAGAGCAGGTTCTGAGAACTCACGACTGCAGTGCACTTCCCAAGATGTGATCCAATTTGCGCTCAAAGGTGTTATTCGAGCTAGCCCCTCCAGATGTAATTCAGTTTTTCACTCAGAGGTCTTGTTCTGAGTATTCACAGCAGCCGTGCGTTCTCCAAGATCTTATCCGTGCTGCACTCAATGAGCCCATTTTGAGAAACTCACGCCTCGTCCCATCATTTCAATTCCAGCGGGCAGCCTTGTGGGGGTTTGAACAGCCGGTTCCGCTTCCTTAATTCTTCGATAAGCCAGGGCCAAGCCAGCTCCGATCAGCAAGAACCCTGTTATCATGGTTCCGAATAGGTAGATATCTTCAGCAGTCAGGCTCACCCGAGCCCAGAATTCTCGTTGAGAAGGGGTGTCAATTGCATTCAGAGACCAGTTGATCAAATCCATAATTCCTCTTTTAGGTTTTAGAGAACAGACTGTGAGAGAGTGTTCCAGGGAAAAGTAAGTAAAAACACAAGACAAGACAAGACAAGGACATAAGAAGCTAAGCAGGGAAGATAAGGGCAGGAGAGGACAAAAGTGCGACCGCCTTCGCTGAGAGCCAAAAGAGATGTCCATCACAAGGACATTGGCTCGAGCGCGCTGTTGGGGAGAAGCCGGCCCAGACCTGTGTTTGGTCCAAGTACGTCACAGGGACAGCGGTTCGGATACACTGTCGGAGTCCATTTCTGCGTACTATAGTGCACGGAGTGGCGGTGTTCGTTCCTTGGTCCGTAGAAGGCAAGGACCTCACGGGGGACGCCTCATGTAGTAAAATGGGATCTAGATCCAGTAGAGCGGCAGACGTTCCACCAGGCAGCCAGGGACAAAACTCAATATTTGACTGTATGGTTAAGAAATGGGGAATTGGGTGTATGAAATATGTTGTTAAGTGGCAAAAAGTAAACGGGTTTCCCGGGAAGGGATCGCTGAGTGTTAACCAGTTAAAGAAAGTAGAGAAACAGTTGCAGGAGGAGGAAGTGAAATTTTTGAAATAAAGGAAAGTTAACACTGTAGATTTGCGTAGCATAAGCGATGAGAAGGAATGTTTGAAAATGTGGATGATGGAAGCAGAAAGGAGGGAAAAGAAAGCAGCTCTGAAAGAGTTGCCTAGAGAAGTGCATGGAAGGGAAGCTGATGCAGAATCGGCCTCAGCGCCTCTTCCGCCGCCGTATATCAAGGAGAACAAAACATAATTTCCCTGTTCACACACTGTTTGTGCTTCTCCTTGTGCCCTAGTACAAGATGTTTTGCCGGGCCTGAACGCCGATGCCGATCTGGATTCCTTGCCTGACCCTACGCTGGGGGTAAGACACCTGACCTACGAGCATGAAGAAAACCATGGATATTGTCAGGCTTACAAGCAAAGACAGGTCGAATCTGTGGATTATTTTATACTTCGTATGATAAATGTGTTTGAAGCTAATGGTGGAATACCGAAGGATGACATGACAGGTGTCACCGCCTCCACATGTGAGCACCATCTCTGCGGCCATATTTTACGGGGACTAAGATCAGATGTGGCAGCCGAAGTAAGGTGTTCGCAAGTGGGGAGGGAAAATGAACCTCGGCTAACGGAACTACGACACCATGCCCGCCACGCTCAGAACCACCTTGACGAAAGTAAAAAGCAAGAAACAGGAAAAACAGAGCGGCGACCTCCACAACGCAACCTTAACTCTGTAAAAAGGCCTCAGCGAACCCGCGGGGTGGCTTCCACTGTAAAGGCAGCTGGCACGGCCGAGGCCGGGGGGGAAGACGTGATCGACAACGTGATTGACGACGTGATCAACGGCGTGATCAACGGCGTGATCAACGGCATGATCGACGGCGTGATCGACGGCATGATCGATGGCGTGATCGACGATGCGATCAACAACGACAGCAGTGGTGAGGAGACCTAGATGCCTGCTTATCCTGTGGTAAGCTTGGACACTGGAAGCGGAATTGCCCTAACCGAGGCTATCCAAGACGCGAACATCATCAACACTAAAACGACCAAGTGACCAGGGCCAGTGGTGGGTGCAGGCAGACTGAGACCAGAGGGAAAGGACGCCAGAGAACGCTTCAGGCTGTGGTTTTCCCACCTCATCAGAACAGGGAAGTGAAAATCACACACACACACACACACACACTGACGTAGAAAGTGTTTTACACACAGACACACACACTTTAATACATCACACTTTTGAGCATGTAGAACGGTTTCTGTGTCACCAGCTGGTACATACACTCAACAAAAATATAAACGCAACACCTTTGTTACTGCTCCCATTCCCCATGGGATGGACGTAGAGACCTAAAATTCATTCCAGATACACAATATAACCATCCCTCCCAAACAGTGGTCACAAATCAGTCCAAATGTGTGGTAGTGGGCACATCTGCTATATTGAGATAATCCATCCCACCTCACAGGTGTGCCACATCAGGAT